CGCTTTCTGATGATGGGGAGGATGGGGAGGGGAGGAAGGGGTTGGTTGTTGGGGGGTGGGAGTGGGGGGTGTAGATGTTGATGATGGGGGCCCGGGAGGGGCCGAAGCGGTAGGTTGTTGTGGAGAGGGGGGAGGATTCGGAGCCCGGGGTGTAGGAGGGGGAGGGAGAGATGAGGTAGCTGGAGCCGGAGGAGCGGGTTGGGCGGAGGGAGAGGTAGGTTGGGGTGAGGGTTGAAGTCGAGGGGGTGTCGGTGGTGGGGACGGTGAAGATTGGGATGGGGTCTGGTCGTAGGGGGAGGGGGAGAGCGAGGAGCGGTTTGCCGGGGGTTTCGATTTGGAAGGAGACGGTGGGGAGGAAGGGTTTGGAGGAGATGTCGTAGGGAGGGGGGGCCGTCATGACTGACTGGGCGTCGATATCGGGGCGGCTGCCGGAGGAGGTGGATAGTCGGTGGACCGAGGAGAAAGGGTCGTCTTGGAGGGCGCTGTAGCGAGGGGAGGCATCCCCGCCTCGAGATGGACAGACTTGGGCTGTCATGTTTGTTGTGGCAATTTTGCTCTTCGAGTCCCTGGCCGTGATGTTGTTTTCGAAAGCCGTGATTTCAATATGTGATGAATGCGGACAACTCTGATGTTGAAGTCTCCTTGGTGATATCGATAAGTCTACTGCTTGGGCTGACGATGACGATCCAAACCCCCTCCCTGAAGATATCACAAGCTTTTAAATACCGATCTCAACACCCTTTGCCCAACTACCCATAACCAATCATTTCACAAAGCGAAGGATACGGCACCCAGGGAGCTCGCCGCGGGGCTGTGGTGAAACACCACTGGCTGCTTTCGTCTTTGACCATGCAGTGCGGGATGATGCGTGTGGCGCTGCAAAGCCAAGTTGGACGTCAAAGTTGTCGGGAAGCATGCCCCACCTTTCGGTTCTTGAATGCGAAGAATACGAAATGTGGGGCTACCCTCCGTGGTGGTTCCGGCGACCGACGGTGTGGCTGTGACACCCAATGAACCTGCCAGGCATTTCGCGGGGCATTCCGCCGTGCCGGATCGTGGCGAATCGGAGATCGTTTGGGAATGCTTACTCTTGACGTCCATCACTGCCAGTTGGAAGTCATGTGAAACTACCGCACGGATGAAGACACGAGGGATACGGTCGGCGCCAAATCTCACGATGCTTGGCAGGAGGAGTTTGGCCTTCAAACAGCAAGTGGTATCTTAACTTGGTAGCAATCCGGAGATCCTAAATCATTACATCGTCCCCAGATGTGAAGCCGAAAACCAGCCATAGAGCCATCGACGAGCCATCGACGAGCCACAAACCAGTCCACCTCAATAAGACACTCCAGCCTCATCCTCCATCCATCAGACGAATATCGACCTCCCAAAGACTTTAGGATCTTTGTCCAACTGCGCCTCCACCCACATCGGCCACGCATTATACCTCCGATGCTCGGCATCCACGCCCCTATTCAGAAACCTCAGCCACTTCCCAATGCCATTCCACGCATCATTCTCATCAACCTGCCCCTTTTTCTCAGGCTCCTTGGCCCGACACTTGTGCTCCATCTCCGTAATCGTCGCCATGATCTGCTTCACCGAGATCCAGTGCGTGGCCAACAGTATCCCCACCTGATTCGATGGGTCAATCACCCTCTGAAAGTCCCCATGCGGCAGCATCATCCACCACGCATAATGCTGCCTCAACGCCTGATACGCTATTTCCACGTTAGCATTTCCACGACCCTCACTCCAACGTACAAAGCAAAACTCACCATCATACGCCCCCACATACAACTTCTCCGCCATATCCAACACCTTCTCCCAATACCCCGCCTCCACCTCCCTCCCCGGCACCCTAACAAGCCCCTCCAACCCCTTAATTCCCTCCACCGCCGCATCCACCCACACCCTCGGCACAAGTCCCACGCCCTCCAGATGCGGCTTCAGCAGCTCCGCCGGCGCTTCGCCCAGGTACTCCCCAAACAACAACTTCGACCCCTTGATATACATCTGAATCGCCACAATCACAATCCCCCGCACAAACGTCATGTACTCGACCATCCCATCATCCAACCACACGCTCTGGAATGTCAACGCAAAGCACGTCGCCATGAGCGCATTCCCCTCCTCAAACGCATTCTCCGACCTCGGCGCCTCCGCCAGCGCCTTCTTGACCGCCTTGATGGCCTTGAGGCGGTGCGCCATGGCCGGCTCGATGAGCGACGGGTCGGTCGAGAGCAGCTGGCTGGCGCTGTAGCCGAGGATGGAGTGCATCAGGTAGTCGTACTTTTGCGACAGGCAGGGGATCTCGTGTGTCCAGAGGTGCTCGGCGCCGAGGGGGTGGTGCGGGTAGCATTGCATGAGGAAGTGCTGGAAGAAGCGCATGTCTTGGAGGGAGAAGAGGGGGATTTGGTGCTGGGGCTGGTGGACTACGAGGGGGATGGCGGGGTATTCGCATTTGAGGCCGGTTTTGGTGCAGTGGCCGCAGGCGGGGCGGGTTTCTTGACACTGGGGGTTGTGTGAGATGGTGGGTCGCTGAGAGGGAGGTAGTAGGTGAAAAGGGGAAAGGGGGGGTACCTTGATGCGGCGGCGCTTGCAGTTGAAGCAACCTCTGCGGCTTTTGGTGTGGCCTCGGCGCTCTAGTCTTGTCCGGCCGTGGGTTAGACTACCGGAGCTGCCGGGGCTGCCGTTGGATTTTTGTGACGTCGTTGGAACGAGTGCTTGTGATGGTGAACCGGACCCGGATCCGGGCCCAGAGCCGGAGCTCAGGAGGAGCGGGTCGATGTCGACCACGGCGTTGTTTGAGCTCGAACTCTCATCCCCGTAGTAATCCGCGTCCTGCTCGAGGAAGGCGTTGTAGTCGAAATCCGAAGGGGACATCTCGAAGTCGGCGGGCGGGAGCATGCTGACCAGTGCAGCAGACTGCGAATCCATCATGTTATCCATGGCGCGAGTGCCGTGGTGTTGCGGAATGTGTTGCTTTCTCCAAAACGGACCCCGAAATTCGCAACGGGATTCCTTCGATTCCAGAAACAAAAAAAGAAGCTCGTCGGGCAGCTCACCCAGTCGATAAGAGGTTGACAGTGAGGCTATCACGTGCGACACGGTTGTCGATCCTCCTCTTCTCCCGCCTTTGCAGACGTGCCAAGCCTCTCCGCGCCTCGATATGGGGGGCGGTGCTTCCCACCCCTGAGTGAAACAAAGAGACGACGATGAGGCTTTCTCGTGTGCACACGTGGGGTATTGGCGTGGTGATATGCGCGTCGTCAACGAGGCTGCGATGAGCTTCAGTGGCTGACGTACGCGCGACGTTTTAGCATCGCGAAATATGACGTCCTCTCCTTGTCGTCGAGAATAACTCGGAGGCGTCAATTCCCTCGTCTTGCTGGGCACTGCCGCTTTCAGCGTTGGATCGCGGGATGCCGGCACGCCCTTTGGGCCTTTAGGTCAGTGAGTCGGGTCATATTTCGCTCCGTGTTGCAGTCGCTGGCGGCCGGCACCACCCGGCGGCAAACCATTTGGGAAGTTGAAGTTGACCAGCCGCTTTTGATGCCTGGGAGCAGATTGATGCTGAAGAGCCTTACAAGTTCAAAATGTTATTTCTTATGAAGTTGAAGAAAGATGACGGGAAGGCACGGGCGACTTCAATTCAACTCGGAAGTGGGCCTCCACCGCGGACCGGCCGGGCCCCACAACTGTGCAACCTCCGACTCGGAGTCTCCCATTCAACACAACTTCATCTTGTTCGAATGTATCCCGCTCTCGGTTTCCAGTTTCTTCAGTCCTAAACCTTACCTTAATTGTAGATGTGATGCTCAAGATTACAATGACAGAGTTCAACATGCCCTCGTCCCGTCTCGGCCTTTGCGCACTGTGATCGACCATAGGTCGTAACACAGCGTCAATACACCGTACCTTGGCCGCATTGCTCTGTCCGGCGCAACCCGTGTTGTTCATTGGCTTCGGTGCGGACGCGGCCGGACAATATCGGGTTCTCCTCCCCCGGGTTGGGCCGAGTGTCTTCGGCGGCGATAAGGTTGCGATCCCGTTGAGACCCGAGCTGTTGAAGATGCCACTCAAGTAAATATTGGGGAAGTCACCGGAAGACAGATAACATCAGTGTTTGTGTGTTCCGAGTACCTTGGGTACGTTACCTGCTCCTGGTGGACCTAATCTTACCACGCCAGTCCCCTCAGTGTACCTTGTAGCGTATCCCAACCAACCAAACAGTCCGCGCGGCCAGCAAGACAATATATGTTGTGAACCACGCCAACACCACTCCTTGCATGCATATTTCTATCCTTGGAAACACATGATCTCAAGGTCTTTGTGATGTCTGCCAGTTAGTCACGATGTGTGCTCTCGGGCTAGTGCTGATAATGAGATCTCGTCAGGGCTGCCCATGGCAATCAGGGGCTTGCGGATCCTAACCATCGTCCGTCGGGCCCAGTCCTCAAGATATCGCAACACCCGAAATCCTCGCTAGTCCCTTGAACTCCTTGTAGTCCAGGCTTGGCGCAGGATCCCACTCGAAGCAAGGCATCTTGCTTGGAATAGGGCAAACCCGATCGGATGAACAACCAACTTTCCGAGGGTTTGCACCGTGACATGAGACCACCTGCGCAAGAAGTCTTGGCTGAAATGACACCACCCACGCAAGCAGCCTCGTCTCAACGCTCGACAACCTCCAAATGCTGGTCCAATGTGCCCTTGGCCAAGTCATAGCTTGCCTCCTGCACATTGTGAGCACGCAGACAGCCAAACCGACCAAAACACCAAAAACAACACATCACAGCACCATCCACAGCCTCAACTCAACCCCCAGCCCCCCAAAAGCCCCCTCCCCACAACGTCCCCACAGGACGCAACTCCACAAACTCTCTTCTCCCTGACCCACGCGGTGTCCCCGTCATCTCTACGCTACCTACGCTGACGCGAAACCACACCAGCCCACATTTAAGCCAAAAAATCCTTCCAACAACCATCAAGCAAAAGGCGAGATGGCCGAGCGGTCTAAGGCGCTACGTTCAGGATCCCCTGAATACCATCATGGCTTCATGAATTCGTAGTCCGAAAGGGCGTGGGTTCGAATCCCACTCTCGTCACAACATTGCCCTGAATAGCATCAAGCTGTCCAAGGCTCCCTTTTTGCTCCCTTCATGCACGAGCGGAGTCTCGGCGCTTTTCTTTTGATGTCGATAACCACTATCTCGGCTGTGAAGGTGGAAGTCGTGTGCAGAGGGCTGTAGCCCTCCCTGTACAATGTTGCCGTGGCATGTTGCTCATCCACCGATGCCTTGGGTAACTGACACATGGTCTTTGTGATCTGACTGTCGGCCGCCACAGACGACAGCATTTCCCCTCTTCGGAAGTATATTCGGCTGCCGAGAGTGTACTGCCGGTGATATCTGTCTGATGCTGACGGGTTCTTGGCTGGGGAGGCTGGCGGAGGTCGGAGGATGGTGGAGGATGGCTGTTAGACGAGTTGCAATATACCAGCTGCATCAACACTACCGTGACATTCTGGCTTCTTTTCCTGCTCTTCGGAACCGAATCTCGCCTCTTCGACACTCTCCTGCTGCAGGTAGAGCTTTGGTGTATGTTTCATCTGCCTAGAAGCCAACCCGAGCGAGCAGAAGTCGTTCCGAAGTGACATTCGCCTGTTTCCGTTCTTATTGGAGATTGAAACTCCGCGACAAACACTCTCCTTCGGGCCCGATGTCCCTCGGTTGTGGTTGCAGATGCTCCGAGAGTCTGATGAGCTTGCAAGATGCCAGCGTTGCTATCTCGCGCTTGTTGCCCAGTGCCACCGTGTTATCAAAGGCCGCAACCTGTTGCCGTGTTACAAACTCATCCACACCCAGAAGCACATCATTTCCAGTTCAGGTTGCTGCACCATTCGACTCACCTCCATCGGCCCGTCGCCGCAGTTGCGGGTAAATCCAACACATTCTAGACTCAACCTTCGATGCTCGGCAAATCGGGGCTCAGTCAGATGCAGGCGGAATAGCCACGACCCACCGACACACACCACACCCCTCCTCGGAAGGTCTCAAGGCGCAACAAGGCGCGGTAATCGGGTCGAGATGACAACCATATTGAGAGCCTGCAATCTAAATTGGGTAGCACACAAACCCGGAATTTCGCTCTCTGGCTCCTCTTACTCACCTCTCCGCCCTTCTGCCGACTTTCCTGATCCGACTCACCGCTGGACCACTCAGGTCAAACCCGGTGATGGACGTGTTATTGTTATTGTCACCGCAGTTTCCACGTGTTGATAATATCCCGCCAGTTATACCATGTGCCGTGCGGGCTTTGGTGATGCGAAGATATTGATCATGTGTGTAAACACAACTCGTCAAACCAACCGGCCCATTCATAGTGATTGCGATCCACAACTGCTAGAGCAACTGCGACACTTCACGTCGGCTCATATCATGGCCTTTGCGAAACGTGACGTTCAGCTTGTTATCAAACAAGCTTGCGAATCGGTTGGTGTGAACTCGCCAAACAGCGACGGCCGATCATTGGCCTGTGAGGCAGCTCCATGCAAAACGATGGCTCAACACACCGTTTCCTTGCCGGAGGATCACCCGTTCGCTGCGCCGTGTGCACAGCTGGACCCAAGGCAAAATGCAAACTGCTTGCTGTTTGTTTCCTGCCGAGGCAAGGGAGGTTGGGGCACAGCGGACATGGAGGCGCTCCACCTCTCAGCTGTGGTCTGGATCGAGAATACGGGTCCAACCAGGGTGCCAAAACGGGAATGGTTGCTTGCGCGTCGAAGGAAAAGGAAAAGAAAACAAGCTTCTTGGCTCCATTCTCAGACAGGGGAACAAGTGTGCTCTCGCCCCGTGGCAACGGATGCAATTTCGCTTGCCCGTTTCATCGCTCTGGATCGCGCCTGTCAACGTCCCGTCAAGCCATCGACGGTGGGAATTGAAAACGTGGTGCGGGAGATCTCAAAGCGCGGGGCTTTGAAACCCACGCTAGAATGGCATGGAGGGGTTGGCGACGCTGAAGTGAGTCTTTTTTCACGGACGAACGAAGACGTCAAAACGGCGCGCTTCTATGATGGCTACGTCGGACTGGCGGAGCCCCTTTCCAACCGACCTGCTTGAGGGGGAGCGAACGTCCGAAGCGCTTTTGGTCCTGGAGGCAGGCGTTGCGCTCGATTCCTTCCCTTTTCAGGGGTCGTCAAGCCACCTTGCTTCAGAGTGTCGAAAAGGGTTACTCGCCCACCAACGTCCCGCCATCGCAAAAGCGCGATGGCCGGTTCCCCGCTCAGAACCCTGGCCGAGCGCGGCGGAAAAGGGATCGCGTTGGCACAGGCGTCGATGGCTAGTCCGTTTCCGCGTGCACTTGCCCCTCCGTCTGCCGACGGCGCCGTGTTCCTGCAGACAACGAGGGGTAAGGCAGGTTTTTTCTCTCGCAATGGTGGCTGCAGTGCACCGTACCTGCATGGGGAATCGCGCGCTGCAATTGGCGAGACGCCGTGATGGTGTGGTGACCAACCCACCTGCGTGCGGTGTTCGGGCGAGAGAGCTCGGGCATGGGATGGCGGGCTGACGGTGGAGCAATCAGCTTCGAAAAGTCGCTGGATGCCCCACTTCCGCGCCGAACAAGTGGCGCCGGCGGTAACTGATTCAGGGCCATCCGGGAGTGGGGCTGTTGATTCGTCCCGATGAACCTCGTCCTCAAACCTTGGATGCCAGACCTGGTTTTCCCTCAACGTCGTCTCTGTAGCGTGGTCAAGAGCCCCTAATGTGGACGTTCAGTAGCGCTTTTTCATAGCGCAGCGGTAGCAGTAGGTGCCGTTGAGAAAAGCGATTCGCCTCCTTGCCCGCCCATCGGACGCTCTCGTGAGGAGAGTGGTGGGCTGAAGCCAAGTGGGGATGTGATCCCAACCGTCGCCTGAGCTCCGATGGAGTCTGGCCCCGGTCATGGCCGGCGCTGACGAAAAAACAACAGGGAAGACAGCTGTCCGATCCTTGGCAGCTGTCGTGGCTTCCAGGTTGCTGAGCTGCCTCCTCAGCTCCGGGTCGTGCTTCTCGCGGCCGGAGAACGAGGCCTTACCGCAAACTACGAGCAAGAGGCTCGATTAAGCTCCCTCTGTCGCTACAGTCAGGGTAAGCTCTATTCAAGCATTCGATCGACGCGCGAAGGATATTGCCGCGTGGCGGCGATGGCAGTGGGTGGTGACACTGAGTATGGTGGATTTATCCAGGTGTAAAAATATGTTGATTCCCAAATCGTTGACTGCGGTCAGCGAATCCTTCTCGCAGTCTTCTCGCCCAAACTGCCCCTGCCCAGCCAGCTTCCGATTCGCCGGGCTTTGCGCGGAGTGGAGTAAGTGACCCCTGTTGATCACCGCCCGCCCAGGCCAGCATCCCGTCGCCTGGATCGCACTTGCCATTCTCCCGCCCACAGACCAGGGAACCACGGGCACCTCCCGTGCACCCCCCCTCCTCCTCTCCACCTCCTCCCCTCCCCGACCCCAGTCACCGCACACGACCAACGACCGCACCGCAAGGCCCAGCTGGTGACCACTTTCTTTAAATCCCGTTTCACCCACCCTCGGATCTCTGCATCTGCCTCTCTTTCGGCTTCACCCACCACCTTTTCATCCCACCTCTGGTCTCGGCCTTTCCCTTCATTTTTCATCTCTGTTTTCCTCGCCTAGCCTGGTTGCCAGCTTCTATCGACGCACAGCCGTCTTGAGTGTCTCTCGTCTCCCGTCTCAGCAAAACCTACCCCGCCAAGGCGCCTCAGGTTTTCCAGGTCTCGATACGCATCACTCCTTCTTGCGTCTTTGACAGGCGACAACAGCACACCAAGGTCCCACGGTACCTCGTTCATTCATCTCGTGTTCTCTAGCACAAAGGCTCTGTCTTCAGTGCTACCAACACGCATTCCACTCTTTCACGCTTGTCGTGCTGGCAACTTAAACCGCTCCTTCCTCATCAAGGCCAAAGAAAACCAGCACAAAGGGATCCAAACAGCAATTTGCTGTAAGTATCGCAGTTCGGCGGTTCGACCTCGCCCGCGATATCTTCCGCCAACAACAAATATCTTCACAACCAAACCGAATACAAGCATCATGCTTTCCAAACCCCTCCTCGCTCTGGCTGCGGCCAGCTTGATCAAGGACGTCGTCTCCCTCAACCCCCGCCAGCACAACCACCAGCGCCTCCATGAGAAGCGTGCCATCGTCACCGAGGTTGTGACTGTGACCGACGTCGTTTACGTTACTCTGTACGAGGACCAAGCTACCTCATCCTCTGCTTTCGGCGCCAAGCAGTTCTACACCAAGAAGGGCCGGAAGTCTAGGAGTTCCTCGGCAGCTGTGTCTACTGCCGCGCCTTCCCCAGTTTTGTCGCTCGAGGCTCTTCCTCGTCCGTCCGCTCCTGTGGCAGTTCCTGCTCCCCTCGCTCCCGCTCCTCCCGCCCCCGCCCCGACGGTAGAAGCCCCAGTCGTTGAGCCCGCTCCCGTCAGCCCTCCCGCCGTCGACCCTGCTCCGGCCGAGCCCGCTGCCCCCGCTACTCCTCCCAGCGGTGGCGCTCCGGCTGGCAAACGCGGACGCGGTCTCGCATTCAATGATCCCAACCTTCTGGGTCGCTTCCTCGGCGGCGGATCTCACATCTCGTGGACATACAACTGGGCCCAGACCGACGACTCCAACACTGGCCTTGAGTTCGTCCCCATGTGCTGGGGCATCACCAAGGGCTTCCCCGCTACATGGGCCACCAACGCCCAGAAGATGATTGATGCTGGCTCCAAGGCTCTCTTCAGCTTCAACGAGCCCGACCACGCCGCTCAAGCCAACCTCTCGCCCGAGCAAGCTGCCGCTTCTCACATCGAGCTGATGAACCCCTTCGCTGGCAAGGCTCGTATCGGCGCTCCCTCCATCACCAACAGCGGTGCCGCTCACCAAGGCATCGGCTGGCTCAAGCGCTTTTTCGAGGCTTGCAACGGCAAGTGCGCGGTTGACTTTGTCAACATCCACATCTACGGCTTTGACACCAACACCTTCCTCCAGCACCTCATCAACGTTCACAACTTGTTCGGGAAGCCCGTCTGGATCACCGAGTTCGCCTTTGGCGGTTCC